TCCCTCGCGCCTTCTCGGTTAGTCACCCCAATCCTGAACCTGCGCTCCAGAACATTAGCTGACGAACAAGCGTGAAAGAGGCAAAAAGACCGCCAGGGGGATGAGGCCGGAAGCTCCGCCCCGACGTTAGGGGCGCACGCAGAAACGACTCTTTTCATTGGTCAGAGATGCAGTCCATCGACGCTCGCTCTTCTGGGTAATGTAGTTCACAGACGCACAGGACGCGGATAAGGCAGTCCCATCGACCTCTGGGAGGAAAGGCCACGCCCCCTTAAGGGCTCTGGAAATTAGGGTCTTCCGTCCCAGGCCGGAGGGGCTTCCCTCCTTCTTAAAGGATCCGTACCCAGATTTCTGGGAAGTGGTGTCTGCAACTGATCACCCAAGTGTTTGTAGACATTATTTCAGACTCCTTGATGCTCAGCGTGGTCCCAAAGCTAAAACCATTTCATATGCTCCCAAAGGCTACAGATCCAAATGCACATAACATTCTATACAGTCATTTAGATACAAAATGTGTCCCTGGAAGCAGAACCTAGTAAACGTTATCATCCTACAAGTCAAATACACCCAGAAGCATTAGAGACAGTTTTGTCAGTCTGTGTATGTTAGGTCAGGGACAAGGTAAAAATACTTCATATAGGGCCGTGACACAGAAGATACAGGATGAATGTGAAGCCACCCTAAAGCAAGCGTTTTTTTAAAAAAAAAAAATGCACCCATAGAAAACATCTCTCTAATCTGATCATTAATTTTTGTGTCCAATTCATTGAACAATACTTTTAGCCATTTAGTATCTTACTTCATATCCTGGCATAAACCCAGTTCCTCTTAGGAATCTAACATCCATCAATAAAAGAACAATGTAATAAATGTTGTTTTAGAAGGGGACAATGGGGGCAGTGTTTCAAAGATGGAGCATGTATGCAAAGGCCGCTCTCCTTTTCAAAGGAATTGGGGTACTTAAAACCATGATATCTCATTGTTTGGAAGTGATTACCATTTCTCTTGCAGGGACTGTTCTGCATGGGGAATTGTTATTACCTCAGAACTATAGATGCAAAATGCAAATTACAGAAAGCTATTGCTAGTGGCTATGTAGTGATTCAAAGGTGGTGGCAGACAGAGCTTTGATGAAACATCAGTGGATGGGGAGAAAGTTAAGACCTCAGAGAAGATTTGGCAGTGATGTCTGAGAACAGGAATATTTCGGTTGAACGCATGACCAGAATGTTCACTCTGATGGTTTTCTCCAAAATGATCTTTTTCTTCATTCTTGAAAACAACATTGTGCAGTATCAGTGGAGAAAAGAGACAATGTGACAGAGTAGACAGAATTATAAAAATATACAGAGAAGCTGAGGCTTACTGTATAGTGTTA